GATATCAACGGAAATGTATACTTAATTAACCTTACTTTTGATTCTCTCGACCTCCCTTTCTTACCTGTCATTTACGTCCAAACTTTAAACTTGTTGATTTGGCTGCTGTTCTGTTCCGATTGAAAGCGTGGTGTAGTGTAGTAAGGATCTCAGATTCTCAGGGGAAACTCCAGCTACCAAAGGACGTAACCCAAGACCCACAACAATATTACTAAACAAAGGAATAATCAACAAGTAGAGATCAAATGAAACTAACTTCGTTGACTATATCAGTCGATGAAATATTCATTAAGATAAAATAACTTAGGAGAAAAACCAAGACAACCTGTACACCAAAACATACGGGTCCTTTCTTCCAGAAGAATCAGCACATAAGACAGTTGAGACGGTAGCAATCTGTAAAAAAAGGAGAGAAAATAGAGAATCCAGTTAAAATGGAAGGTGATTACTATGCCAATGGTAGAAGATTTCCAGAGGCTAGTAGGCGCTTGGAAGTAGTGAGGGCAAAAAAGAACGGGCGCGCGAGAGCGAGACACGCGAGTCTTCCTCTCGCGCGCCTGTTCTTTCTTGCGTCCACTACTTCCAAGCGCCTGCTACGCAGGCAAAGAGGCAGATTTTTGAGTCTGTGGATAAAATTCTATCTGTCATGATTGAAATGAGACTTCTTCGGTGGAAATTTCGAATGAAAACCATTAGTTTCAGAACTTAAATATGCGAAATTTAGGATTTTTATATTTTAAAGTCTGACAATCCTAGGAATGAAAGAGTTTAGGCCACTATTTTTGCAGTATAGCTCAGGAATTACCAGTATATATGCAGTGTAGAGCTGGTGAGAGAGTACTGAAAACTTTCGGTTATCGGTCTTTCGATTTCAACGACGTGAAATGGGCTTTGGTATCAAGCAAGCAACTGCAGACTGAGAGAAAAGCATGTAAACTGGGGAAGAGTGCTGAAAACCCTGGCTGGCTGGTGGCAAGTACAGAGATTAAGCGAAACACGCGCGCGCTAGAGGCAGCCACGGACATGACACGAGCGAGCCCCACGCGTATGCATATTTGATTACATCGAACATTCGTGACTTCTGCGCATGAATGTAAAATTCGTCCTATCCTTCAACTTCCGCCAGAGAAAATGACGTGTACAGAAGAACATCTAGCTTATATTTTTCAATGGTTTACAAACATCATGTATTGAAGTTCGCAGGAAACACTAAGGGCTACGATATTTGTTTTGATGACAAGTTAAAAAACAAGCAAATTATGGCCCGTCGATATATATGTAGTATATAGTTTCCAAGATGTTTGCACAGCCCTTAAATTTGCAAGTTCCATTTTCTTTCGGCATCTTTGTCAAACAATGGAATACTAAAATTTTACTAGGCAGCAACAGCGATAGGTGACAATAACGCAAAAAAAATGCATGCAGTCGAATAATCCGAACGAGCACTTCGTGATCACGGAAATAACGCATGATTTGTGGTGAGACTATTTGCATACAAAAAGGCTCATTGAAAGACTGAATACCTTGAATAGTTGCAATCACGGAAGGAAAAAGTAGTTACTACCAATAAAGTTTCACTAAATTAGCAATGCAACAAGTAATTAAAAGGAAAGAAAACAAATTACATGAGCAGACATATTTCGGTGTCACCAGAGAATTTCTAACACGACCTCAATTAAGTTTTGTTACGTTCCACATGCATATTACTGTACTTAGGTCCGAGTTATTTCCTATTGAAATTTTTGTTTTGAGAAATATGTGGGTGCTTAACAAGCATGCACACAAATATTGAGCAGGCAATTAAAAAGCAAAACATTTTCAAACAAGAATGATTTTCAATGAACCTCGTACATGTCTTTAAATGTTATAAAATCAGCTTCTTCGGTTTTACTGCGCTCAATATGACAATAAAAGTGCAATATACCTTCTATAATTAAAACGGCAATAATATCAATGAAATTGCATTAAAGAGTAACATTTATTTACACAATTATACAACAAACCCAGAGCAAAACTTTAAGATCGGTTTTGAGTAATGATATGTACACTGGATTAAAAACAAAATCCAAAATCTACGCTGTACAATCTATGGCAGTAACATTGTCCATCGAAAGTCAATTAGTATAAGGTCAGATCACTATTTCCCTGTTTTGACAACTAACGGATACATATAGAAAACTTGAACTTTGTACAATTTTGTTTCGAATCTTTATAAAAATATTATGATACTTTTCATAGAATTCACATTCTCATAAGAGTGCTTTGAAATAGAATCGATATGTGCACACATTGGGATGTGCAAGTGATTTATTATTAGGTCGCAAAAATTACCAGTAGTATGGAGCGCCAAATCTTGTAATTCAGTAGCCCAACCAGAGTAACTTAAAGTTGAGGCCTTTTTTCACGTTATCAGTAAACTGGAAAGGGCCATACATTTTGCAATCTACCTTTGATTAAAAATGAAAGTCATGTTTCACACTTAGAATCTCAATTCGACAATGAGGAGAAAATAGCGGTGTTAGGTTTTAGAGTCAAGGTTTCATTCTCATTTCTGATCTAACCTGATAACTACTAGAAGCCAACAGTTTAGTCAATCAGAGCTACTTGTTCTAGAATCAAGTGCATGCTACGACAAACTGTTAGTGTTTCGTGATTGCATCATAGGCGAAGTTGTAGATGGTGCTGCATAAACTTTCTTCAAGTTTTCGTATTTGTTCTTGTAAGAGTCTCTCTCTTTCACTGTTTCGCTGAGAATTTCCCTGGTCTCACGTAACTGAGCTGACAAGCGTTGGTTCTGCGTTGTGAGGCTCATTTTTATCGCAGTACGCTTCCGCCGAGCGCTTGTAGCGTAATCACGGTTCTTCAAGCTTCTCCGCCGTTTTCTGATCTTCTGCGCCTCATCACTGCGCAGATTTCGCAAGCGTTTGTTTAATTCCCGAATCGGTAAATTCGCTAAATCCTCTTCTGTGATGTTTTCGATGGATTTTTGCACTTCTGCTTGTCTTTGTGGGCTGGTGGAAGAGGAGTAGACCTCGCTACTTAGGTGAGGCTGCGACTCATCGGGAACGGACTCCATGTCACCTCTCTCTCCTGTAGTCTCTTCCAGTTGGTGGTTCTGAATGCAACTGAGATTACTCTGCTCATCTTGGGAGAAATAAATGTCCAAGAGTTCTTCGATTGGAGAAATATCAGGAAACAGTGACGGATATTCCATGGTTTATGCCACTATCAATGTATTAATAAATTTATTTTCTAGAATTAGCGAAAACACATGGCTCGGTAACTTGAACGTTGTACCAAGCATTCTGGAAGAGATCAGGAGAGCGATGTTATAAAGGCTCTGTTGTCTTAACCAATGGACATACAACGATCTGACAGCTTTACTGCATACTCCGCCCAACCAAAAGCTTACGTAACGGGGAAACCCCTAGTCCACTGTACATGTATGTACACCAAGTATGTCGCCATGAAATCCAAAGAACATGAAATAGAGTGAACATTTCTTTAAAACTTATGATATTATATACACTTCGAGTAAAAAAAAGGCTTAGAAACCAAACCAATCGAGGAATGGTGTAATGTTAAATCAATTATCACGCAAAGGAAGTTCTGAGCATTGAACCACCGACACTAGCAATAATCTGCTTTGTAAGAATAAAAGTCCTTGATCCAAGGATTCCTAGCTCACAACATGAATGCACCATAACATGAGATATTAATAGATCACTGATCAGTAAAGTCTTGGTTTTAACACTGGGGCGACTAACGTAACACGGAAACAGTTCGCTTCAAGGCAGTATACTTCTGCTTAAATTCATCTCTCTCTTTGACGACTTTCCTAAGCTCTTCCTTCGCTTGAAATATCGCAAATTCAAGAGCTCTATTTTCAGCGTCGATATTGTTTTTCTTCTCGGAGCCCCTCTGGCGAAACGTTTTCGAATACTTACGATTTTTCAAAACTCGTCTTTTCTTTCTAAATTTCGTTATGAAATCGGCAGGTAACAGGCGAAGATGTTTGTTGAAGTCTTGAATTGACATTTTTTCAAGTTCCTCATCGCTTAACGTTGCCAGAAACACGCCAGAAACCGCTTTCTTCCTATCATGATCACACTTTGTTGTTTCTTTCTGACGCGCCGTGTTTACAGGGACTACATGCATGTGATCATCTTCGAATGGGCCTTTGCCAATCAACGTCTCCTCATCTGTCTCTTTTACGTCAATGAAGGCAAACCTCTCTTCATCGGAAGAGAAATCGAGTGGATAAAGAGAAATTACGTCGTCCTCGCTTGATTCCATCTTGTTTATTCACGGAAAGTTTCGAAAGACTGGCGCTGGAATTCGAAACTGTTTTGAAAGGGACAATAATTTAAGACGGGAAAAATCCCTTTCAAGTACTTATAAACAAATTGACTAGATGGTTTGGGAAAGTCCCTCGGCTATTAAGACATCACACTGGCACAAGATCGGCTGGCGGATAGACAAAATATCGCAATATTATGATTGACTTTTACTTCTCTTGCATGCTCCAGAGCAAATACGTCCTTCTAGTAAATAACTACTCTTTTAAACACTGAGTGCTATCGACCGATGGCCGAATACTTCATAAAATATTGTCACCATATATGCATGGCTGGCTGGGAAATTCCCCATTTTTTTCGATTAAGGCAGGCTTTACATAATGATAAATCACAACTCAGCATTGTTCTAAATTTTGTGTTTGTAGATGAAATCCTATGGAGCAACCATTTAAACGAAACCTATTCAGCGAATCTCATGGTGCTATTTGTTTAGAGTGGTCCTAACCATTGTGTCGTCTATGGAAGAAATTCTATGGTGCAACCATTCAAAACTAGAAACCTATGTTATAATTACAGTCAGGTGGCCTAACCTTTTGTGTCTGTGGATGAAATCCTATGGTAAATATAAAACCATTCAAAAGAACCTTTGCAACCAGCATATTTCGTGGTGCCTTTTGATTTAATACTAGAGAATGTGTCGTCCTAAACTTTTGTGTCTAAGGATAAAATCCTATGGTACAACCATTCACAAGAAACCTATTCACACCATACCTGATGGTGCCATTTGTTTTTAAGTGTTGTTCTGACTTTTAACTCTGTGGACAAAATTCTATGTGGTGACCATTTGAATGGAACCTCTTCAGCAGTACTTTCACATGGTACTATTTATTTAGTATGTAGTTCTAATTTTAAGTCTGTAGAGGAAATCCTATGGTGTTACCATTCAAATAAAACCTCTTCAGCAGTACTTTCACATGGTACTATTTATTTAGTATGTTGTTCTAACTTTTGAGTCTGTGAATGAAATCCTATGATGTTACCATTCAAATAAAACCTCTTCAGCAGTACTTTCACATGGTACTATTTATTTAGTATGTTGTTCTAACTTTTGAGTCTGTGGACGAAATCCTATGATGTTACCATTCAAATGAAACCTCTTCAGCAGTACTTTCACATGGTACTATTATTTTATTTAGTATGTTATTCTAACTTTTGAGTCTGTGGACGAAATCCTATGGTGTTACCTTTCAAATGAAACCTCTTCAGCAGTACTTTCACATGGTACTATTTATTGAGTATGTAGTTCTAACTTTTGAGATATCCTGTGGTGTGACCCACAGCAGTAATTTCACGTGGTATTCACTCATTTCAAGTAGTTCTAAGTTTTGAGTTGATGAAATCTCATGGTGCGAACATTTAAATAAAACGCTGCAGTAATTTAACAAGGTACCATTCTTTAGAATGCAGTTTCTAACTTTTGAGCTTGTGAAAGAAAATCTTTAGGTGACTGAATCCTCTTTGGTAGAGGTTACTCTTGCATGTCGCCACTTGCTATCAGAATCAAACAAAATCAAACCTATATATCTCTAACCATTCTGACCCAAATCAATAAATATACCTTCCCTTTCAAAACAACATTTGCCTCCGCCTTAGGAAGCTGACCGGCTGGCTAGCTCTGACTGGCTTATGTAAAACACGTCTACTGTTTGACAAAGTAATGAAAGTATGAAAAATCATTTTGAGCACATATTTTCTCAGGAAGAAATTAAAATACATATTCCTTTCCTGGTTTCAGCTTTGGGTGACTTTAAGATATCTATAACTGGTTAGTTTTGAAACCATGCCATGAGTTTCCTTCTGCTAGTGTTATTCCATAGTTTTTAATGCAAAAAAGTCTGCAGTTACCTGACTCACGTTTCATTATGTAGCAATCAATTCCACGGGAACTAGGTTATGGCAACAACTTTGAGATTTTGTAGAAAAACCTACTAAAAACTTTGGCTCGAGCAGCACAGCTTTATCATCCTTTATCTCTATTAGTTATGTCATCAAACTGAAGGGCTTTATTTTGTTACCAAAGTGGATGGGCTTATACTGACTGATAGGCATAGCGGGGTCGATTTTACAGCCACTGTCGTTTTGTAGAATACACAGGCAGTTAACTAAAGTACATTCGTGAATGTATTTTACCCTGCTTACACCTACATTCGCCAGCAATAAAGATAGATCATAAATTCGTCACATACTTTGCAAAGTTTTAGATCGTTTGGTTTTGGACTTAGTTATATTGAGCAATAAGAACTACCAAAATTATTCGTTTACAAAATTAGTATTCTTTTGGAAGGAAAGAATACTAACTTTTCTTGGCAACTTTACCAGTTTCAAGTTTAGTTTCCTGAGCGAAACGTGGGCATTAATACCAGTTTTCCAGATAAGCCCTTCAAGGGTATGAGACCATTCTGATAAATAAGCATTAAGAAAGAAATTGCGTTTCACCTTGAAGCTTTAACTGCTTTCTTGGCAGACGAGGTCTTCTTTTCGCAGTTTTTCTCAGGGAAGTTCCATCATTTATAATTTTTAAGGATCATCTTCAACATTGTCATCATCATCGTTATTATTATCAATAATATCTAACTTTTTCGTCAATCATATTTTCCAGTATTTTTTGTTATATTTGCAAAAAGACAAAAAAACCCTCCGCCCTTGACCCCAGACTGAAAGGATTCTTGCGAAGTTAAATTTCTTGTGCAGAAAAATTTTCAAATATATTTACGAATAATAGCAACGTTATGCAAAGCATGAGACTCACAAAGACGTCATTATTTTAATTCTTGTCCTTCAAAGGTTAAGGGAATTTTCCCTTCACAATCGTCACGTCACCCATTCCGCACAAAGATACCCTGTTGAAAACCATGTCGAACTTTCTAACGTGTAATTTCCAGGGTGAAAATGTGGAGGAAAATTTAACGAAAATTATACCCAGAAAGCTGAAAAGATAAAACTGGGTAAAATTGCGAAAAAACTTTTTTAACGTTTACATCGACGCTTTTTTAATTACTACTTTCGAAAGTGAAACTTGCATCTGAAATTACATTCCTCTTTTGTTTCGTTTCCGAAGGGGTTTTTCCCTTTTTCCGGTGAGCGTGACAGCAGCTTAAAACGTTACGTCTTACTTCCAATTTCATACTTTCATAACACACACGATAATTTTTTCATCATTATTTCTCGGTTCGAAGGTGTTTTTTTTTCGAGTAAAATGACGATATTTCTATTCGTCTTGCATTTTCTAAGGCAAAATATATTTTACATATTTTTCAGGTATTTTGCATTTCTAATTTCACACTCAGTATTTGTGTTGGCAACTGAGTGAAAAGGGAATTTCCCTTCACATTTCTTGACGACCCCTTGCGTTTTAGATCCACTAGTTTTCTAGCACATACCACGGAGGCGGAGAACAAAGAACTTGTTAGAGAAAAATGCTCTTTTTGGTCATAAGATCTCAGAGGTTTGCTGTATATGCATTTAGCAGAAAAAATTTTACAGATTGTGAAATTATTATCAATGACGTAATTCCGCACGAGTTGAACTTTAATGTCATGAAACGCGGAGAAATTATATGATTCGTACCAGTTCTACTACTCTGAAGTTTTAATCTGGTCGTAAATAGACATAAAAGACAAAAGTTTTTGCTTTATAAAACGTACGTGCCAGTCGATGTTCGTCGTTGGTGAATGTTTAAGGTAAAAGGCTTTTCTAGGGGATTCCCCGTTTTCAGGTCCAACAGCGATTGGTCGAACAGTTACGACCCCCAGCAGACTTGAAAATTTAATTCCCTTGCACTACAGTCAGGTGATAATTTTCGAGCGCGTTTGTAGAAGTGAAGATGAGCTATTTTAGCGCAGGGACTCTTCTTGATCTTTCTCCCATGGACGAACTACTGCAGACACATTTTCCCGAGGAACCGTACACCTCAACTTGGTCTGATAAATGTCATCTTTCTGATGATCTCGCCAGCGAAGCAGATTATCAAGACCTGGAAAATATACTCGCTATGTCACAGACTCGCCTGGATCTCGACCTCGAGGCTTGTTCTCCAGCCAGCAGCGGGCCTCAAAGCCCACAATTATTGCCTGATTCCAACGAGCATATAAGCGACGATGACCTTATCAAGCTACCTATAAGAGAGCTGAACAAACGGATCCGGCATCTATCGAAAGAGGAGGTGAAGAAAATTCGAAAACGGCGAAGGAGTCTAAAGAATCGTGGTTACGCCACGAGCTGTCGACAGCGACGTGTGGCGTTAAAGGATTCTCTAGAGACCCAAAACCAACGCTTGAAGGCGCAACTTCGTGAGGCAAAGGAAAAACTTAACATTGCAATAAAGGACAGAGACATATACAAGGCAAAATGTGGACAATTACAAGACATTTTGTTGAAAGTACGGTGCATGCCACATTCTTAACAAGTGTTCCGTCAAGCTGTTTGTACACGATGAAGTAGGCCAAACTTCGGGTCGAGAAAGGAAATATTTTGCAGGACATAACGCCGCTAAGGACAAATATTGAATTGCTATGAAAATCGTATTGACGACACCAATAGGATCGGTGACTAAAGATAATTATGACATTTAAGATGACTTTATTATGATGTTATTTCTGTGCATGGCGTAGAACTGAAGAAAAAAATTGGTCTCCCCTTCTGGAGCGTTGTACACATTCACGTACATAATATTATAAGTTATTTAACTGTAAATTTTTGAAAAGGAAGAAACCTTCAAGCTCGTTTCGGCACTGTTATTAAAATGATACACCTCAGGATTTTGTATTTTTCAAGATTTTACTTTATATTTCAAAACGATGGTTTATATTTTCACCTTGAAATTCATGTATAATGTTATTGTTGGTTTATATTGATTCCTTAATTCGTCTGTTTCCTGCTCTCTAAGTCAAACCCAAAGCCATTATCTAATTTAATTGAACTTAGCGTACAGGCAATTTATCGGTGTAATGTATAAAGATTTAAGTCGAGAAAGAATTATAATGAAAGCGCGGCAGTTTAAATCGCGCGAGATGTGGTTATCAGATCCTATATTAAAATAATGTTAACCCTAGCATGCTGCTGATGGGTGTAGCATGAAGTTATTTTCTCATGTTTTCGTAACGGAAAATAGAGCAATAGATACACACGGGACGGGTGAATCGTTTTATTGAAAACTCGCTAAGTAGGGCCAAGGGTGAATTATTTCTCTGAATGTTTAGGCGTTGCTCGTGATGGAGTTAGGAGCGCTACTGAACTAGATGGTGAGTCTCGGGGCTATTTTAGAGTTAGATTATTTTTGGATTTAGGGCTGAGACCATCACTTTTAGGTATGTGGTTGATGTAAGGGTTTTGGCCAGCGCATAAGTACATTGATGTAATTAAAAGGCGAGATATTTTTATAAACAACATTTCACTGTCTTCGTTTAAAGCTTTATTGTTCAAAGTGTTTTGTGTGATTTAATATATGTTGTTTGCATCTAGCTGAAGCTTAGGAAATGATGAAGTGTTAGTCTAAACTTCTGCGAAAGTAAAATCCTGTTGTACATTATTTTCCTGTGGCATTCATCTGCAGTCTTTCTTCAGCGCGGTTGTTATTGCTACACACACACAATCCATTCTGTAAACCTTCACGAGCACACGAAGTCGGCGATGAAGAGATGTCGAGCAGGCTTTTCTTCGATGTTACCCATTTCGTAATTTTTCACCACAAGGAAGTGTGTTTCTCTCTCATAGGCTTCCAATTTATTGCGAGCGAGAAGGGTGAAATGGATGGGTGTGCCAATCTTTCCACCCTTTCGAGCACGAGGTTTTCGTGGAATTCGCTCCCGATTTTCTCAGAAGTCATTGATGCAAATGTCATAGCGGGCTAATACAAAACAAAATATAGTATATTCCGTGCTAAAGATACTTACTAAACGTAAACCAGAAAGGAAACGTAAAAGATTTCTTCAGCCTTGGTGGCTCCAAAACCTTGACAATGGCGACAAAAAAACAAAAGGTCAAGACCATACATTATTCGGGCAAGCTTGAACATAATTTGTTGACAACCTCAGTGTGCAAGTCACGCAATATGGAGTTTAAATTTGCATATTTATAAAGCATGATAAAACAGTTTTTAATAACACGGCGATCGTAGCTACATACAGGAGGAATTACTCTCCACTGCAAGATATTTTTTGTTCAAACTTTCTAAAAGAACGCCGAACAAATTTGTCGCGTGTTTACAGTGAATTAGTATTAGGCCAGAGGTCAAAGATTGTAAATTTCAGGAATGCTTTATCACGAGATAGTTCAGAAAAGTATTTGTCGGTTTTTTGGATACCAAAGAGACTGACTTGCATGATTTTATTTTTAAGGATTTCCGCAAATAAAGGAAAATGAAGTAGTTCATTCGAAGCGAAACGCCGGTCACACGACCACCGACATTGCGAGAAAGTTTTGACGTCATCTCATACAAAACAAGCATGTATCATCATTTTGAATTCCGAACCATCGATCACGCCATTGAGATGAACAAGAGTTAATCGCTGCAAGCTATGGTGAGTGACCTTTATCAGCAATCGCAAGGAAAGGTAATGCTGCTGAACTTCAAAACAAAATTTTTTTAGTAAAGATTTCGTCGGCACGTAAAATTACAATCAAACTGACTGTATTATTTTTATCAGTACTAACATGGTCATGTGACTGTGCCGGGCCATTTGTATGGAGTATAAAATATCGAAAAACATTTTTTACGGAATCTAATAATGATCGTATAAAGTGACAATCATCTCATCTTATTCTGTTAATTCACTTTAAAGTCAAGTGGAGTGAATAAGGGGAAATAATCATTCTTATTAACTCATTCACCGCTTTCTTCTGTTTAATGTTTCTGGTTATACCAATGTCAGGCGATTTGCTTAGTCGAAATGGGAAAAACCCCTGTACAATAAATCGAGCGTCACCTTTATAAAAAATGTTTGTTATGGGACAAGGCGGGAAAAAAAAATTCTTGTTGAAATATTTTCTTAAGCAGAGAGAAATTCACTGTTCAACATCCATAACAAGACAACAAGGACAAAAGCAACCTACAATGTTCACGGACCCGCGGGTTAAAACTAAAGTGAACGAAAGTTGTTCGGACAGTTTTCTAGCGCTACGACTACAAAAAATGCCGTGATTTGCTGTGAACAACAGGGAACAATAAGATATCATGCAAAAATTAGATTTCACGTGTTTTTAGTGACGATTCAGCAGATATTTTTTTCGTGAAAGCCAGAAAGGGCTGCAGCTAGTAGGAGTGTCTCGTAAATGGCACACAATTTTCCTTTCGGGGCGTTCCAACAGTGAAAACGAAATTTACCCTTCAGAAAGTCCCAAGTAACTCGGATTCTTTACTCGGAAATGCTGAGCAAGCATTTAACGATATGAAATTTCGGGAAAATGTCAGTGAAAAGTAGTTGAAATAAACAAACTTTTAATACACTTTGGATCGTTTGTCTTTCGCTTTTTTTTTGATCAAGCAATTTAGTTCCATTTTCCTTCGTAAGTTCCACTGATCTCTGACTGGTCGCTCTGGAATTATCGACCAGCTAAATATACTAGTTTGGGTTCCCTGTGCATGACTGTGGCTGTACTGCTCAGGCTGAAATTTGTAGTGAAAGGTAATAAATTGCTATGTTTCTCGTAACTTGAATGGGAAATGATACTGGAATAAGGGGCATATGTTAATGACGAGACTGCTGTAAAAGAAGATTCGCCTATGCGTTTGACGGCATCTGTCCTTTTAGGCACCGTCCAATACACCCTCGATGTAAGAGAAACCAGATGTCATTTATACTCTCAGATCAGGTTATATTCAAAAATGGTGCATAATTAAGCATATTTTTTGTTTTTACTTGCTGGGGGTTTTCCCCATGTGAATTTTCGAACCTTCTGGTGACAAAGTGAAATTATAATGAGTTATAAAAAAATTTGGCGAAAATTATCGCTACTGCTTCAGCTGACGGGTCTACCTTGGTTAAATATGTTATTATTATTATTATTATTATTATTATTATTATTATTATTATTATTATTATTATTATTATTATTATTATTATTATTATTACATTGTTGGACTGGGGAACTGAATCAAGCTTTGCGGAATGGGTTCGAATGTTGGTTCTGAAAAATCACGACGCCATCTGTACTTTCGAACTACGAATACTTCGATTCTGTCTTGACCAATCCAATTGAAGCTTTAGATACTGTTTACAAGCACTAAACACACCTCAAACCACATTCTCGGTGGTTTTATGTCCTTTGTGATTGGCTCTTTTGTTTTTCCGCCGACGTTGCCCTAACATTCCAGAGATAATTTTGGTGTTTACGGTTTTCCTAGCCCGAAAGAATAATATATGTGAATGTGGTAAACTTTAAGTAGGTTCACACTAAAGTTAATCGCCCTGTGACATGGAAGTGTTAACCCGGGGGGTGGGGGGTGGTATCACAAATGTAGAGCGCTCATCGAGAGTAATCACGATCCAGTCTAAAAACAGAAACCCGCCCTTTTTAAGACGCTACATGGTGAAATTGTTTACCTTGTTGAAAGAAACAAACCCGGCTGAAAACCATACCTATTTCGGTGGCAACCGCACCTACCCGTTTGAGCAAAATAAGCGAGTGCCCCCCCGGGTGTTAAATAACTCTAATATTAATTTTAATAGCTTGTTATAAACCAGCCCCACCTTACAAATGGTCAAGCCTGGAGCAGATTCCGCTGATCTTACAGCACTTCTTCTCAGTAACATCTCAGAACTAAATTCAAAAACAGAAAGTATAACCTTTAAGCTAATGTTGTAACGTTTCTTAGGAAGTCTATCATGTGCCATATATTGTGCCTTAATTGTAATTGCGCTAAATTTCTGTTATATAATAAGTTCTAAAACCCATAAAGCAGTGCGAAGTAGGCCGCTTGTGAATTCTAAGAAAAAATAGCTGGGGATTCCCCACTATGTTCAGGTTCTTGATTGGGTCAAAGGAAAGGAAAATTATATTTCAGGACTGTTTACTGAAGTGCAAAGTCATTGCTTGTTTCGTTTAGCTGCTGTGTCTCTAAAGCAATTTTAACGCAAGTTTTAGCCTTCAGCCTAGCTTTCTAAAAATGGAAGAAGATTGTTTCGATATGTTGGACGAAATTTTCACTGAAGAAACACGAAATCTTCTCTTCTGTTCTACGTGGACGAAAGGTTCTTGCGGCGACAACATGGCCGTCGGTGACGATGCGGAAGATATTCAAGCTCTTTTCAATGGCGAAGTGAACCCGGAAACAGAAAATAACGATGATGATGACGATACGTCTTTGGAATCCGAGAGCGAGATGTGGAGTCCTCGTAAATCCAAAGAAATCAGCGATGAAGAAATAAAAAACCTGCGGGTAAAAGAACTCAATAAGTTACTGCGAAACATCCCGTTGGACGAGGCAGCCAAGATACGAAGACGACGACGGAATTTGAAAAATCGAGGCTACGCCTTAACCTGCCGTCAAAGGAAACAGCAAGAACATGAAACTCTCATAAACGAGAACACTTCGTTGAAAAAGGAGTTGGAAGAGGGCAAAAGGAAGTTGCTTAAAGTGCTGAACGAGAAGGAGGCGTATAAGAAAAAGTATTTGCAAGCCCAACAAGCTTTGAACGCTTACAAGAGAAGAATGGAAACTTCAGTGATGCTGCCTTGTCGCTAAACGGTTTTGTTTTCTCTTCCAGTTTCTAATCCGACTACTTCAACCCAAAAACAGATAAGCTGTAAATACGTGATCGTCAGCCATTGTTTGGGTAGAGAGCTTTCTTCACGGTCAATAACATCGATGTTTTGCATCGGAGAACGTAAATCTTTTAGAGCTGAGGCTTAATCAAATTTCCAATAATAGGTCTGGATACAAAAAAGCCGATTGATTTCTGAAAAAATAGCCCAAGCTTGATCTTATTAAGGCATATGTCCATTCTAAACTGGGTAAGTCTGTACTCGTACAAAAAAATGCTCATGCAAGACTAGAGGATTGGATTGTGTTTTAGAAGAGGGGACTGTGAGCTGTGAAGAACAGATGAACTTGAAAAGCTTGAGTTCAAAAATTCAAGGTAAAGTAAAATTATGGGCGGTAAACTTAATTGTTGGTGGTGCTTTATCAAAATTCCATCAATTTTTCCCAGATATCATTGTCGATGTAACAGAACATGTGTAGAAGGTGACAACAAAAGTGATAAAGCGTGACTTTTTGAATAACCAAGAATAACCAGGATATTTTGCTAGATATAATTTATATACTACCTGCGCTTTCGAAAATGACTGTATTTAAGAGAAAACGCAAAATATTCAATAAAATTTATCCCGATTTAGGAAAGGAGACACGCTCATGAATTTTTACCTTAAAACTGATCCAACCCCTTACCAATTGACGATAAATCGAAATTGCTTTCTACATTGATATCTATAATCCACTCCGCTTTTCATTGCCCAGTAAATGATTTTTGCGTAAAATACACTTGGCGTAAGCTCCGTGTATGGGAGTTGGTGTCAACAGCTAAGAATGCAGCCGAATAAATGAGGGGAAAGCATAGGTCCTTCGCCGCATTTTCAACATACGACACGTCGCAATTTTAGTACGTCCCCACTGAAAGTGTTTCAAGAACATCTTGAAATTGGAATCTTTCGTTAAATTTGTTGCTTCAGTGAGTCGCCGAGCTATTTCACTTACACATAAGTGTTTCACTTTAAACTTCAGGGAAAAATAGCTCATTCTAGCAAATTCTGAAGGCACTGGAATTTGCGCGACGTTGGCTTCCAAGGCAATCACAGACTTATCCTGCGTAGCAGGCCGAATTGTTTTTGCGTGTGTTTTGACGCGTGTGAGAGGCACGGATCTTCACGCATTCTCAGTTTTGCTCGCGCTAAATAACAATCCTGCCGGCTACGTAGGCTATGAGAGACTTTCATTCATGCAGAAAGCTGATCACTACTCATGTGGATTAACAAAGAAAGAAACTGAATGGCCTGTTTTTCATGCATAAATAAGGGAGATTTAAAACAATGTTTTAAATTTAGCCAAGTAAGAGCTAAAGCGAGGAAATTTTCCACGCGTGTGCTACGCGCGCGAGGAACACGCATGGGAAGATAAACTACCAGGGCTGGATGATTTAAAGGAAAAATTACTGGTAAAATAAAGAAATATGAAAGCTTCTATTCCAGGCACAAAGAAAGAGCTGATGTAACCTTACTGCATTGTGTATATGTGTTGCTACAATTTTTTAAACACGGAAATAGAAACCGGAATTCGAAAATGAAAGTCTAGCATGATGCAATTAATTATGAAATACCGAATTACTACAATCACATGCATACCTCGTTGGCATGGCAACCACACAGATTTTGAAAGAAGGCCTAAAACCTAGAAATTAGACATGATGGGTGTAAGTTAAAATTCCCTTCAAAATCTGTAGTACTTTTACGTTATTTAATTTATTTTATAGCAGTTATATGCAGTGACTGTACCAGATCAAAACGTCTTCAAAGGGCCAGCACGGAGAAGGCCTCTGGAAAAGTGGTTGACATCTTGAAACATCGTTGTGAAAATTGTATAAAAAGAAAACAAAAGTGGGGGACTTCCCGAACTATCGAAAGAAAAAGTCATGTGATTTCGGATTGGTTGGACAGCAAATTTTTGGAAACTGCGTCATAAGGCGTTTGCAAAAGATGGCAAGACATTCCTCAATTACCATCTACCTGTAAAACCTATAATATTAAGACGATACGCTCTAGACCTTACTAAAAACATGACGGGCTATTACACGAAAATGCCTAATTTGTATATCAGCAACGAAGCACAAAGTTTTGCGTTGGTTTCCCTCTCCTCCGCAGAGACCTCTTTGTGTTGTGGGAAGGCTGGGGAGAAAGAAAAAGAGAGCGCGCGGGGCACGATGGGAAGGAGAACGAGAGAAGAGAGCTCCCGCTTCCCTGAGCTTCCCATCGTTCCCCGCGCACTTTCTATTTTTTTCGATTATTGCTATTGTTATAGGGATACCCAGCGGGAGCCTCTGCGGAGGACAGAGCGTTGGTTTCATCACGAAAAAAAAATCTGCCTCTCTAAGAGTGACGAAAGCATAACAACAAGCGATGAAGAACACAAAGAAATCCAGGCCCTTTTCAATGGCGAAATGCACACGGAAGTAAAAAATGATGATGACGATGAGCATACATTTTTGGAGTCTAAGAGCGGCGAGAATTGGAATCTTCCTCAAGAAGAAAAGAAAATCAGTATCAGTGATCATCAAATCAAGAACCTCCAGGTAAAAAAACCGAACAAGCTACTACGAAACTTTTCAACTGAAGAGAGGGAGAAAATACGAAGGAGAAGGCGGAGTTTGAAAACTCGGGGCTGTGCGAAAACCTGTTGTCTGTCGAAACAGCAAGTGCTTAATTTGGTAGTTAACTAACGAGTTCTGAACAAGAAGGCTTATGAAAAGAAATTTTTGCTGGCGCAGCAAGTTTGACCGCTTGCCACTGAACGTAAGTTTCTCTTGACTAGAGCGTGTGCTGTGAGACGGATTACGTTTAAAGATAATTAAAGTCCTTCAAATATGATCTTTACAGGGTGTTCTACAAAACTTAACCTCAAAAAAGAATGATAGAGGCAATGATATAGTCAGGATTATTTGACGTTTTCTAGAATTATTTTACTAAACATCCATGGCCAAATAAAAGGAATTAGAGCAACGATAAAGGAGACCAGGGGCAAACTGACACATTTTAACAAATAATTCGCATGATTAGTTTTTTGAGCCCAGAATCAATCCTGAAGACATTATGCCGTGTGTATCCACTTTTTGCAAAAAGCCATATAGTGTGACCACTGCACTAAAAATCCTTTTCCATCTCAAAAAACCAAACAAACAACCAATAAACATTTTGTTACATTTTTATCTTTGCATTCTCGGAATGCAGTGCAAGGGAGAGGAGATGGACGGGTTAGTTTCTAACGCGGCGTGATTATCCCGCGTGTAGCATGTTCTCGCGCGCGTGAGATTGTGTATTGCGTTACACCTCTTACTGGCACTGCTCTTGTTTTAAATGAGAGGCGTTAAGTATATAAAGTCTATTTGCATCTGTTAATAAAGAAGTAGACTACGAACAGTCTCTCTTTTTTCAGATTTTGTGAGGGGAGTGCATGCGCGCGCGAGCGTCGAGCGGCGAAGCCGCGAAAGTCATAAGAAATTTTTATTTACATCAAAATGTTTTGACGAACGGGCCAAAGCGGGGAATCCCCTAATTTTGAAGGTCTGCCTCACAAATTAGTCACGTGATTTGTTGACAGCTTCGATGTAAACAAGAAGGATTTCGGAGGCAATTCACGCCGAGCTACAAAGAATTTCATTTGGAGTTGGTCTTTACATCGATTTTTCAATTTTAGGTCAAAGAAACTTTCTCTGAGGTAGTACAGCACAGTTTTATGTCAGTGCAAACAAAACATCAGGCTAAATCAAAGAAAAGGAAGATCTTTAATGGCGCGGGTGCGTAATTTGTTTGGTCAAGCGAAAGACGCGACGAAACGAGAAGGAAAGGCTAAGAAAAGCCAACAGAAGGCCCGGAAACAGCCTCTTCGTGATCACGAATCTTTCGTTTCATGCAAGTTAAGCGATGAAAAGCTTGAGAAGATGTCGATCCGAGACTTGAACAAGCACCTTCGTCAACTTCCCAAAGAACTAGCAAAAAGGTACAGAAGGCGAAGGCGAATACTCAAAAATCGTCAATACGCCCTCAAATACAGACGGAATTCCTCGGGAAAGGGAAGCAACATCGCAAAGCAAAATGCGTCTCTCGAGTTGGAGATATGTCTAACAAATGAAGAGTTGAGGAAAGTTATCTGTGAGAGAGATGAATATAAAAAGAAATGTTTGCGTTTAAACGCAATGTTGCTGCAAAGCTCTGCAACTGACCATGCCTAATCATTCCAATTTTACGGAAACAAATATGTGGGCAATTCTTTCAGTTCTTTAAAACGTTTATGCAGTTTGACTTCACGTCTCAATAAAACAGCCGTGACTGCCACCTACGACATTATGTTTCGTATTCTCAATCAAGGACCCGTTCATCTTGTCACATTATTTGTCCTTTAACTTAATGAGCTATAAATTCACATATAGTTCCACGTAATATTCTGCGACTGACGAGAGTGCAGACTATAGACTGCAGTGCACTATATAGACACTACAGAGTGTTGTCGCAGTGGCGGTCGGTAGAGGAGGACTTAAAAGCAGTAGAATGGTGCCACTGAGGCCTTCAACCTTGACCCTGTTCGATACAAAATCCTTCCATTTTGGTACACTTTGCAGCATTTTAGGCCAGAGGCTGAATATTTCTACCAGTTGTTTACCATGTCATGTCTGGTATTTCGATGTCACATATTTGTAGGTTTCTTCCTCTTTTAATTTTATTACTAAGGGATATGATGAAGTTTCCTAGGGAAGAATATCTGCAGGAATGCCAGGAACAGTAGTTTGAGATTTTCAATTCAACAATTTTTTGAGGGAAGGGTCATACCCCCAATCCCCTCTAGAGACCTGTGCACTCAAGTAATCTGCCTTACAGTACAGGACGTCATAGGTCACTGGTTAAAAATCTAGAAAAGCACTTCTCAATTGATATTCTCATGATAGTCCCCCAAATAGAGAGCTTGTTCACAGGCTAAGGTTTGATCAAGTGTACAAATTTGAATCCCTAGTAGTGTTCCTGCTTAATAAAGTCAAGGTTGTCATTTCAAGAGACCACTTTGGGAGTGGAAGCTAGTTTCAAACTATCAAATTCAAATTTGTCGCCCAGGCTGAGGGGAATAAAACAAAAGGAATGAATTATTAATGCCTGATTTTCAATGCAAGTCTTTTGTTTTATTCCCCTCAGCCTTGCAAGTTAAGTGTGAATTTTTAAATTAATAATTTGAAACTGGCCCAGTAATGTAATTAGAGGTGTTTCAGCTGATACCAGAGAGGGTTCTGATAAGCAGCCATGTAATACATTTGTTGAGGGTCATCACTTAATTTAGCAAAAAGCATGGCATATTTTGATAATAAAATAACCTTAGTTTCTTGATCACATCCAAAGTAAACAAACTGTACATTTAATTTAATAGAGTCTATGTAATACACTAACATACATTTGTAAATGTTGTCAAGCAGTATATGCTTTCATTCAAGAGTTGACTAAATGGTGACTGATGACAACTTAAAAACAAGCTTAAACGGAAAGACCGGTTGGTGTATCACAAAGGAGGTCATCGTCGCCTACGAGAGCTTCTCATTACAGAACTTAAGTCAAAGTTAAAACGGGATTTCACATTGCTGAGAACAGACAATTTTAAAACTTTTGTGTGAACATTCAAGTGCTACAAACTGCCCATGAACCAAAATGAGTATCCACCCTACTGAAGGGAATTGTAGGGACTACAGGAAGAAACAAATTCTTTTGACCTCTGTGGGATAGAGCCCATAACCTGCAGATGGCCATTATTCCACTGTCAGGTGTGTAGCGTGAGATTTTGAAGGTGTACGCACTGGAAGAAAAGTCCCCAAAGGTGCTCTGAACAACCAGGGTATATGGGTATGCTCCCCCAGAAAATTAATAAATTTCAGTCTCAGAAATGTTATTTCGTGCGTTTTCTGCAGGACATTTTCAGGAAATAAATAAGAAGGAAAATGCTGTGAGGGGAGCAGACAGAGTCTGTTTATGGAATAATAGAAGGATAAAGGAAACACAGGGACACCACTATATTGTGAAAAAGTCATTGGTCATCCCAATTAAATGATAAAAATAGTTAAAGGAAATAAAAAATACATTTTTCCTAGATTTCAGCTTTAAGCACGGCATATGTGTGTATATGGATGCTTAATGCTCCTCACTGTCTATGCTACATGTAGAAGACCCGACTGGAGCAAGTCTGGAGTAATTAAGGCGGTGGATCACAGCAAGGACAGAATGTGAATGGAACATTATAATGCTAGCTGGGCTGAAACTGTCTTGTTTCTAGCTTAGAACTACATGGGACAGCATCATTACACACAAAGTGAGGCGTGAAGAGTGCTTTGCACTAATTTACTAAAAATAGGCTTTGTCACCTTAGACACCCTGCGTGACTCAAACAAACTTTGCATTCTACTCAAAGGCTTTGTAAGTCTGGGCAACATGCATTTCCGACATGAAAATTGTTCATAAAATTTGCACGGAGCATTTTTAAAATATGTTTGAGCTTTATTCTAATATATAAAAGGTATTTCTGCTATATAGGGAGCAAAACCTGGTTCAAAGTTAGCAGAAACTGGAAACTGTGTAAGTAGCGTAACAGAAGCACTCCAAAAGAAAAAAAAGCTACCTCTGCCTATAAATTTAAGCCAATACACTGTTTATGAATAGCTTTGAAGCCCTGCTCTCCAATCATTTCTTATTAAAATGCCTTAACACCTCATAAGCTTGCATACGAAATAAAATCAGTCATCTACAGGTACAGTTTTTTGCATGTTTGATGTTGTCTTGGCACGCCTTGATTATGTTAAGGATTACCATAAAATTCTGAAAATAAGCCCCTCCAAATATAAGCCCCCCTAACCGGTAACGCAAAAAACCCTCCAGTAAATCATCCCTCCAAATATAAGCCCCCAGCGGCTTGAACTTGAAAAATTGCCCTCAAATACAAAGTAAAACAAAGCAAAAACGGTGAATTTTCTTCCAACTATAAGGCTAGCCCAATCAATTTTGAAATGCAAATTTCCCTCCGTAGATAAGCCCCTCTGAATATAAGCCCCTCAAAAAGGGCCTTTGAAAAATATTAGCTCCGGGGCTTATTTTCGGAATGTTATGGTATGTTATCAAAACCAGGCTAGATTTTGTTTCTTTTGATGATAAAAACCTTCAAAGATGACGAAAATTTGTTGGCGAACATGACCTTCTCACACAAAACTCTTATACTCGGTCAGGTACAATGTCTGAGTCACATCAGGGACCAGAAATTTGTGACGTCATTAGTGCAAAGCGCTATTTGCAGCCATTCGGTCAAGAAATGTTTTTGGCAATGAATTTCATTGGCATATAAGTACTTTAAAGGGAAAATGGAGGCTACTTGGACTGCATGCTTCAGATAAATTTTTTTGAGCCACTCCCTTCCCTCAAAGAAGGGAAAAGGGGGCTAATTTGGTGTGATTGTACACAAGCTACAATTGTTTTCATGGTGTCAGTCACATGTTCCTCTTCAATTAAAAATAATGAAAAGCATTTTTAAAGTTCCACATTTTAGCATCAAAACCTTGCTCATTTTAACCCTGAACACACACATGATTTGATGTATAATTTACCCTTTACATTCTTTCCTTGCCACAATCTACCACCTTAACTACCGTATTTATTCGAATAGTTAGTGTCCAACCTCGAATTAGCGCCCACCTCGAATAAGTGCCCATCCTAAAGGCACAAAAAGTTAATAAGCGCCCAGCCTCGAATAAGCACCCACCCCCACCTCCACCCACTTGAGTGACAGTGAGATTGAAATTGAAATTGAAATTGAGTAAGTACTAATGATAGACTTCCCTGAGGAGAGAGTTTTCTTCAGAGTATTTTACAGAAACCTTCTTCGCGTTTTTTTATTAGCATTAATTTTATTGTTTTGTTGCCAAATAAACATACTACACTTACTGAGAATGGTGAAAACTTAATAATCGCCCAGCCTCGAATAAGCACCCACCTCGAATAAGCGCCCACTCTGATCTCAAGGTCCAAAAATTTAATAACTACCCAAAATTGAAATTTTTGCCCAATTCCATGATCCTAATTGTTTGGCATCCCGCATTCTATGCATACTTTCAATCCTGAATCTTGACCCATTTCTCATTAAAATCTTGAAGACAAATCCCAAATCTAAAAAAAACACATTGGGGACCCTCTCTCCTACCGTGATATTGGACCACTTGAAGGCTACCTTCATAGTTCCCTGCTAGAAGATTTCTATACATTAAAATGCAATGAACACCAAAACAAGACTTGATTTCAGTTCTTGAGTTAATTCCATCTATTCTGATTCTGGAATAATTGAGGAATAGGGTCGATCGATCAGGCCCTTAGTAGACAGAGCAACAGTAGATCGTGGGTGCCAATCCCACGGAGGTCAAGAGTTTTTTCTTTAACTCGCGTGGTCAACCCAATAGATTCCTTTTTAAAAACTAGACATGATAACGCTCAGTTGAATTTATGACCTATTTGTAGGACATCAATTTTCATCACAGAGTTGATCTGCATCTGTAATAAGTTGATTCATGTACCTTTCGCAATGCTGGTCGAACCCTAAAACAGATGAAAGCACTCGCCCTAGGGTCTCGCGCTTTCATGTTTCATCTGTTTCTATAGGTGTTTGGAACTCGTGATGAAGAACTCGCCCTCGTATGAAACTGAACGGAGTTCGACTAGTAACTCCATCGATCTCGAACAGCGTTTTCAAGCAAGCATTTGAATTAACTCTAAAACTTCAAGAAATAAACAACTGTACCTTTCGCTCTAATCTCCAGCTGTTCTTTACCTTCCAGCAGCCATTTTGAAATTCCCTCACTTGGCTTCAAACTCCAAAGGGTTAAAATACTAAGCGTAGAACTGGG